ATAATATATATATTATATATATATATAATATATGCTGACAATATTTTACTATCATATTTGCAAGTTGGGTTGCGTAGATTGTTAAGAAGACTTGGCTCCTATTGTCATAATAATTTTCTAATCATTAATAAATCAAAGTCAAAAATTATGGTCTTTGGAAAACAACACCATGACCATAGATGGCTATTAGATGGTGAGACAATACCGCAAGTTAATACATTCCCTTACCTAGGGGTAGTCTTCTCTGAGACCAGATCTTGGCTTCCTCATCAGCAAAGGAGCTCACTTAGAGCAAGGGCACTTACTGCTCAAATTAATAAATCATAGCTATCCAGGCTCCCTAACCCCAATTATCACAGTATACAAGCCCAAGGTGACTCCTATGCTCTTATATGGCGCTGAGGTTTGGGGTTTAAAACACATATCACTATTAGAACAAACACAATCACAGCATCTGAGAAGCATCCTGGGTGTGGATAAAAGAACTTCAGCTGCAGCAGTTAGAGCCAAATTGGGAATCCGTACAATTTGTTCTTTGTCTAAAATTAGGGCTTATAACTATCGGTGCAAATCAATGCTATGGAAACTGACAGACCCCCAAATTGTGTTTGTTAGAGCAGACAAAATCTCAGTTACACACTTCTTGGATAGTACAATTGACAAATTATATTAGGAGCTGTGGTCTCCCTGTCTCATGTCCACTTGTTTCGAGAGAACAAGCTAAAAAGATCTATACCCAAGATCCGCACAAAGGATCTTGGATACAGAAGCACAGAAAGATATAGCCACCCTTAGTAAGGTTGGCTCACTGAAATGGATGAGCCTTTATAAACATACCTTCCAAATTGCCAAGTATTTAAACACAGAAGTGCCCAAATAACTTAGGGTAGTATTTACTGGCGCAAGATTTGAGCAGTTGGACACAATGGTTAAATATGGAAGATTTAACCAAGTCCCTTACAATGAATGCGCTTGTATTTGTGGAGCTCCAGAGATAGAAGATATAACACATATACTACTTGAATGTCATCTGTATAAAAAAGAGAAGGATCAGTATCTTGGACCGCACATTAGACAAATGCTGTATTGGGATCCTTATATTAAAACAACATATTTAATGTCCGGACAGAATTCAAAAATTACATATAATACGGCCCGTATTTGAACAAAACAATACAGCTGAGATCTGCATATGTGGATCAGATCGGAGTAAATTGTAGGGGTGATACAGAAATATGATTTCCATCTTTTTTCTTTTAATTTTAATTTGTTTCTCTTAACCTATTTTTAATATATGGTCTTAATGTCTTATGTTTTATATGTTTTATACTCTGTACCTTGATATGGCCTAATGGCTAATCAATAATAACAAAACCTACAATTTCAAGGCAGGGAACCGGCGGCTTTCTTGATGTTGGACTCCACCTCACATCAGTCTGAGCACGCCGAGTCAGGAATCATAGGGTTGTAGTCCAAAGGAATGTGCAGGGCCACAAGCATCTCACCTTTCACCCCCGGTGAAATTCACCCCGGGTGAAAGGTGAGCGCGAAAGGGAAAGGCAGGCAGGAAGGCAGGCACAAGTGCGAGCGCGCGACCGTCTCTTTTTGCCCCTCGGGCCTACGAACTTTTCGGCTGCGGGGAGGGAGGCTTTCGCGCCGCCTCCGCAGTTCCCCCTCCACCCTCGTTCGGGAAGTGGACGGGCGTCGCGGGTAGGCTCCTAGCTGAGCAGGAAATTGGCTGCCGCGGCTGGACGATACTCGGTTGCAAAAAATGGCGTACGAGCCGAGAGAATCGCTGCTCACCCCGTCAGGAGGCGCGTGAGAAGACGAAGTTCAGAAGCCATGTTAGATCTTGGCGACTGGCTACTGTTCCTCCTCCTGTGGTGGCCGCTGCTTTCCGCGGCTGTCGAAGGTATCTCTCGGGGACTGGGAACGACTACCGAGAGGGGTTTCCAAGGAATGTGAAAATGGCGTTGGAAGGGGCTGGGAGCGGGCGCGGGAGAGATGCCGGGGCCTCTTGGAGGTCGTTGTCCCTTTTCATTACGTGCGCTGGCTTTTTAAATCCCGGATGAGGGATGGAGTTTGATTTTTCAGCATCTGAATAGGGTTGCTGTCCCTTTCCAGCACTCCAACTACTGGAATTCCTTATGATTTCAGATATAATGTCAGCAGGTAGATTTCCTCAGGGCGATAAGGTAAATAAATAAATGATAGAATATAAAGTCAAAGTTCTGTAGCGCTATTGAAGGAGACGTCCAGCGTGCGCCAGCTGTAGGGTAGAGGAAGTCTGCCTTTAAGGCAAAGGAGTGCTGTTGGATTGAAGAATGGCGAATTTTCTTTGGAGGAAAGGGCACTTTGGATAAGCGAAAAAGTTTCTAAGTTTGAGCCGCTCCTTTGAAAAAGAGATACTGTTCTGTAAAGTTCTGGATTTGCTTATTTTTTAAATGCTGCTATAACACAAGCCAATGTAGCAATCTGATATTTTGAAACCATTGTGTAATATGGAAAAAGAAGTTTGTGCAGACCTATTTTCCAATGATTCTTGGTTGGAAATCAGAAGAGTAGCTTCTCAAGAATTCCCATTGTACCCACAAGAAAGTTTTAGAAACTTGCACCATTCTGGTTATGAGCAGGTAAGAGGCGCACGACATGTTTTCCTAAAGTTACCTTATTGGGAAGCATGAAAGCAGCAGTTGAGAACTTGTGCCTGTGCAGGACTGTTGCTCATGAAGACTTAGATCAGTTGGATAAATGATGTCATGATGGTGTGCTGAATAGCTTGACTCCAGTATATAGATGCAAAGGTGAAATGGTACTGCTGGATTACTGTGAGATATGTTTGTTTAAGTTTAATATATGTACTGTAAGGTGTTAGGAGAAAGCATACAGTTGCTAAGTACCAGAAGAGTGCATTGTGAATTTGTCAATATTATTAATTACAGTTATATGTAATCTTTAAGGATTCTTGGCACTGTACAGATAAGATGCATAATAAATAATATACAATAAAGAAATACGATGCATAATGAACATTATACAATCAGAAGGATACAAGTATACTAAAAAAGCAGTAAAAAAATCATGCAAATAAAAATCACCATGAGCAATATCTAGCACACTCAGCCACCCACTTTATACTTATCTATTTAAATAAATAAACATTTTTTAATGCCTTTCAAACTGTGTTCCACAGAACCCCAAAGTTTCATGAGAACTTGGTGAGGTTCTATGTAAGGAGAAAAAAAGTTTCCTTGAATGCAGCCAATTTACTGACACTGGAGCTTTGCCTCTTGATCAGTGGTTCTGGAGAGAGATATATATATCTCTCTCTCCAGAAAAAAGAATATATATATATTCTTTTTTTAAAGCTGAAACTTTGAGACCCCCTGCTTTAAGGTATCCCCTTAGTTCTCACAGCAAGATGATTTCTAGTAACTTAATATTTTACAAAGTATCTGTATGTTGCTAACTTACCATAGCAACAATGATCTGTTTCTAACCCTGCCATTCTGACAGTTGGTGAATTTCCTTGGGCTTGGACTCTGAGCTTCTCTTAGGTCCATCCTTCTACCCATACCTCCCAAAGCCCTCTCTCTTCAGCCCCTCCCTCTCCAGAATTTAAGTTACCATTCTTTGAGTGAGAGTTCTAACACCTAGTCATCATTGGGCCCAGTTAAAGGTGCTGATTTTGGCACCTTTCCCAACCAGAAATAGCTTCCTCCTGCCCCTCTCCCCCCGTGTGTGTACCTTGAGAGGGGCTACTCTGGGTTCCCACTTCATGTGAGGTTGAGGAGTGGATACCCTACCCTTGAAGGAAGGGGAGTCCTCATCTTGCTTGTATTTTGCAAAGCAGTGGAAATCACCCTGACAGGCTTCAAATAGACTTGGCTTGCATTTGTAATTATTATGAATTTTAAGAAGTTTCATGTAAACTGCTTTGAGTCACAAAAAGTAGGATGGTATAAAAATGTTGCAGGGCCACTGGCATACTGGCAATAAGCTTAGTTATTACCCTCAGGCATATTGTACCTGCATCTGTAGTGGCCAGTTCATCTTGCCATTGAAATGCTTTGGAGTATGTTGAATTGTGGGTGTATATATTTTTATTCCTTTTATGCATTGTTTGTCTTTTTAGGATCTTCTCTCTCCTTACCTGCACCACAGAATTTGACAATTAAATCATATAATTTTCAGAATGTATTGAGCTGGTCTCCAGTTAAGGGAATCAGTGGTCCAGTGTTTTACAGTGTTCAGCGTCGCTTGTAAGTAAACAGTTGTCAAATATCAAATATATATTTCTATTCTTTATCACATGTTGTCATTCAAAGTGTATCACTAAGGAATTCCACTGTTTTTGTATTATATTGCAGAAAATCAGACCAAATATGGAAAAAAGTGAACTGCAGCGATATCACAAAGCCTGAATGTGATTTTGATTATATCAAGGATTTTTACAGAACTATTTTACGTGTCAGAGCTGAACAAGGCAAATTGAAATCTGAATGGACGGAAGCCCCGTCTTTATTGTTATAAGAGACAGTATGTTTCATTTGTTAACTTTTCATTTATTGATGAGTTAATGCCTCTGACTAAATATGTCTTTTTTAGTCATAATTTCATATGTGGAAGAGAAAACAAACAGCAGTAGGTCAAAAGATAAGGCCTATGCTATAAAAAACAAGTCTTGAATTATCTCAGAGACTGGAGAAATGTAATGGCATCAGCTTTTATAAACAAAGATCCACATGCATTTTATGAAATTGACTCTATTTCACAAAAGCTTGTCATAATAGGCTTTTTTTTTTAAAAATGAGACTCTTATTTATCATAACAGAATACACAGCTGTTCATAGAAATATGCTATAAGCAGATTCGTACATTCTGTTTCATTGGGGCATACTAGTAGGAATTACCTGTGTTCTTTATCAAGGTTGTATTCACTTATCCATGCTTGTGTAGACATGTTCACTGATGTGCCTTTTTCAGCGCAAAAAAAATATTCATAGGTTTCATTGGTACACTGTAAGAAAATTTCAGATGATATCATATACCCATTGCATTATGGAATGACGAATAAGATTATTTGTAGTGTTATGTGAATTTACAAAGAAAGGCATGGAAAAGCAATCTATTTTTCACTATTGCTCTTACCTTCTGTAATATTATTTAGGTTTTGGTTGATTCATTTGTGAGATTTACAGTCATGTG